TGAAAAACTATAACTAAGCAGCAGAGGCCTTGGGAATCGCAGCAAATTGACAAACATCATATGACAATGAAACATAATTAAGAGTCTTGATTAGAATTGGAATATTGCCTTGTGTATTTTAACACAACATAAACAAATTAACATCCAGACAAAACCGGCAGCTTGCAGCAAAGCAAGCAATGAAAAAAAAAAAGCTCTGCTTTAAAAGTCCTGAGCTACGTCTGGTCGGTTGTTAATTTAATAGGTCCTTGTTTTCAGAGGAGAATAAAGTCATTTTGCACGGCACAAATTTATTCACCCCAATCTGAATCTCATTGATTTCATGCTCTATTCAGCCGGAACACAAAAGATGCCGACTCAGCAGAGAACTTGACAGTTTCTTTAAAAGGGAGGGTGTAACCACAATGAAGATTAATGCTCTGCAAAAGTTAAAAGAGCTGAATGGCTATTAGTCAATAGTTTTTAATAAAACTTTGTGCCTTCAATGTGTAGAATTAGCTATTGCCACTGCAAACATGTTGACGGCCAGCAGGAAACGGATGGTGCTGCAGAAAAAACCAAACCCACTCTTCCTATACGGAAGGTTTGAACATGATCTACAGAGCTAAAGAAAAAGGATTTTCCCCATAAAGTTTTTATTTGCTCGTCTGTTTTTTTTTTATCAAAGGGTCAGATCATTAAACTATTTTAACACCAGACAAGGCTAAATTGAGCAAATACTGATCTTTAAATAAGTGATAAAACAGTAACTATAACATGACTCCAAGTCCTCCAGATTTTAACAGACCCTGCGCACCACACCACTTCCTCCGTGTTTGATTCTAACAATGATTTTCTTTTTCTGAGATGTGTGATTTTTACCCCAGGTATTAGAGGACAGTTGAGGCTCATCATTTTAGCCTCTTTCTTGTTGATGAATCATGAGCCCTGACCTCGCCTAAGGAAAATTAGGCTTTAGTTGTTGTTGGAAGTTCTTTTATGACCTCCTGGATGAATGGTCCTTAGAGTAGTTTTGTTTTTCCTATCCATTTATAATAACTCTCACTGCACTATACTGATTAATCAACATTTTAGAAACTATGCTGTCACCCCATCCAGGTAACAGTGACTTTCTCATCTATTCCTGGATTTCTTTATGTTTCTTTAAGTTAATAACCTCTGGACATTGTCAGTATACTTAATGTTGTGAAGCAGGCTCTATTTTACTTATTTATCAGGTCCAATAGTTTGGTAGCAACTGAGCTAGTGGCTCAGCTTTCCAAAAAAAATGAAAAATCACCTCAACTCACAGGTAACTATAAATTCATCAAATAACATATATTATATATATGTTATATATTATATATATATATATTTTTAAACAAGAATCAGGTCAATTTTGATAGCTGCTTTTCTATAATCCATCATTATAAAACTGCTTTTTAATTTTATTTATGTCAGTTTGATGACATGACAGACTTTCGTTTAAAGCTGTGATGGGACAAATACTTCTTCACAGCACTGGAAGGTGAATCTAACACATACTCTGCATGTCCATCAGAAATGCTCCCTGAAGGCTTTCTAATGAATACAAAGCACAGAAGATTCCCCAATTAGCAGGACGATGAGGAGTTAAGGCACCTCAGCGTACCGTGCAAACAAACGCATCTAGACAGGGTCTCCAGGTTAAAGGAGGTAAGATGTAGAGATAAGATGGAGGAGCAGGCCCAGAGAAAATGAATTACCTTCCTGACGCACGTCAAAGCCAATCACGGGCGAGCATCCTCTGCTTTTCCCGCGCCTCCGGATCCCTGCCGTCGCCTCCTTTGCGTTTCATCTGCCAGTGTTAGTATGCACACAGGCCGTGCGTCAGCCTCCAAATGTATTCATTTATTCAGAGCCCCTCAGAGAAATCACAGTGTCTTGTTGTCCTTTTTTGCGTGTGTGTGTGTCTTTTTTTTCCTCAGCTGTCCAGATGGAATTTGTGTGAATAACATCAGTTTAGTGAGGCAGAAAATAAGTACAGGCTAGCACAGCAGAGGGGACTGGATTACACCCTCACACAACCTCCTCCACCTCAACCAAAAGACAAGTGTCACCTTCATATAGCTCTTTCTACCTGTCTGTCTCCCATTCTTAGTTTCCAGAGGTAACGCATCTTAGGAGTTGGAGAGTTGCACAATTATTAATATTATCATGCATGGCATCACGCCTCAAAGAGCTACACAGACTTTTTCATTAGAAGAAAACGTGACGGGCTATCATGGGGGTCCTTTGTTTTGCATTTATAAGAACCAATTCCACTATTATTTCAGATTCTAAAAACAACCGTCTTCAATAAATAATTCAGATGGAAGTGAGAGAGAGAGAATGGGAATCCATTTGTCCAGCTTTAATAAAGCCTAATAGAAATTTAAATAACTTTAATCACAAAAGTGGAAAGTCTTAATATTTATCCCAACAAAAAGAAAGAAATCAAAATGTAGTTTAATAGTATCTTTACAAAGCAGAACTGAGATTAAACGCTTACATGTGGTGAAATATATAAGACTAATCTATAAAACAGACATATAATGGGCCAAGGGGTGTTAGAAGAACTCAAAGCTGTTGATTCAAACTTAAAGGGCAGATGAGTAGAACATTGGGCTTCATGCAATATTTTCATATTCTTGTCTTAAATTTCTCTTACCTTTTCTCCTTAAAGGACTAGTAAAAAAGGCAGAGCTTAAGACATGCAACACTCTTGGTGCACCATACAGAAGCTAGCCCAGTACTGACCCTTATGTTGCACACGGCATAAAGGGCATCAAAGAAAAGACGAGCAGTGAAATAAATCACACGAGCTGTAAATGACGTGGTTGGACTGCAACAGAAGTAAAAATAAAATAAAAACTGTGATAAAAATAAAAATAATTTGATCCGAAAACAGTTGATGAAATATACTGATGGATTTAATAATAAAGGGAACACCTGTACTGTACATCTCCAGAACACCTCTGCATTTCCTTCATCACATTGTCCATCATGCATCAATACATCAGCACAAAAATGTTAATGGGAATTAATCATTTTATGTACGGTAATAATGCCAAGGATGCAGTGAAATGAATGCAATTCTAACCATTAGAATAGTTTCAGGCAAGAAGTGGCTAAATCTTCTATCCATTTTCTGTTCCAGATGTTATTTCCATAGTAGCTTGATCTCACATAGAGCTCACTGACTGTTCTTTTATTTTGACAAAACGACAACAAATTAAGCCAGCCTGGATACAGACATTCCAGCTGCAGGTGTAATGACCCGTATTTCTGGGTGCCATTCCGAACTTATTCCCGCCCAC